AAAAAAAAAAAAAAAAAAAAGCAGTATACTACAGGCATAGTATACGCCTGACAAAATAAACTACAGCCCTGTGCTGAAGACAGGGCCTGGCTTAAAAAAAAACTCTTGAAATAAATTGCAACGTATACCATCTTTATGTTGTATCTGAATACAGAATGACCAGATAGAGGTTTAAGAGGAAGATTAGTATTGAAGTATTGTCCTTAGGGGGTTTTAAATAGTTGAAATAAAAAGATGTATTATTGGCAGTTATTCCTGCTTTTTATTGTTCCTTTGAGGTCTAATGCTGTCTGATAACTTAAGTCTGGGATTTTTTTTTCCCCCTTAAAGAACAGATTTCTACTCTTAACCGCTGCTGCTGACAAGTTTGATAAATTAGGCAGCATTCTGGGACTCATTATTTTTAGTGCCTTCATTTTTATCTTTTCTCTTCTGGTGCTTTTTCCAGTATATTTTTTCTTCTTCATTTTTAACTTTTTTTTTTTTTTAAATCAACTTCCTCTCTAAAAATTTAAATCTATATTATTTTTGGTTACTTCCCTGTGGATAAATTAGGCAAATGCCCCAAGAACACATCTATTCAGTAGCTTTCTATTCTTTTCCTCAGGATTCTTTGGCCTCAGGTGACAACAGATGAGCACAATGTGTTGGCTTGTGTAATCGAAAATCCAGAAAGGCAGGGGAGGGGTAAGGACACAGGAGCATAGACTAGAATACCCGTAGGGCCCCTCCTCTTGTCCCTCAGCTTCTCTCTGCATGTCAGCTTCAACCTGTCTCATCCAGCAAGAAGGAAAGTGAACCTAGAAGGAACGCATGGGACACAAGAAACAGAGTTGAACACAGAATTTTATAAAATGTATTTTATACAATACATTAATTATAAATATATTGTTTATAAAACATATTTGATTTGTTCAATTAACTAGAAAAGAATCACTTTTGTTTTCTAAATTTGGTAGTTAAATGTGAATTTTTAAATAAAAATTCTAGAACCATCTATAATTTCTGTATGGCCAATTGCATTCAGCTACTAAACAACTGAACCCTCCCTCCCCAAATTAGCAGCTTAAACAAGAGAGACAGGGCTTCCCTGGTGGCACAGTGGTTGAGAGTCCGCCTGCCATTGTAGGGGACACGGGTTCGTGCCCCGGTCCGGGAAGATCCCACATGCCGCGGATCGGCTGGGCCCGTGAGCCATGGCCGCTGAGCCTGCGCGTCC